ATAAATCCTTATTTACAGGGTGCAGCAGAACAGGAGGGTGCTCGTTTCGTGTTATTACATTGCGGTCTGTGAACTGATCTGATCCACTAAAAAGAGCTGTTTGTTTCCACAGAAATGCTCTTCCTGGTTGCTTTAAATGACAGGTCGTCATGAGGTGAGACAGACAGAGGGAGGGAGGGGGCTCTCTAAAGCATCATGTTTTAAGATTAAACATTTACAAGTGGCATGATAATAGGATTTGCTACCTGATTAATTGATGCCATTTCTATCCTCATCACAGCCCCCCACCCCCACCAATCCCTCTCTCTCCTCCCACCACCCTGATGCAATTAAAGGCTGAAGCTGACACTAACACACGCATCATTATTCAATTTAATGGCTCACTGAAATCTGCCCAGTGTCAGTGTAAAATAAAACAGATAAATAAATCGGTGTGTTTGGACAAACAAAAGCTAACAGAGAGGGAACACGCCCACAGGAATAAAGATTTGGTGGTGGTGGGAAGAGATAAACAAGGCGTTCAGCTGAGCGGAGAGAAGGCAGAATGAGGATGGTGGAGGGATGGATGGATGGACAGAGGGCAGCGTGGAGCACAGAGTGTCGGATGTGTTGTGATGAGCTGGTTGGACACCTCTGGTTCTGAGATGGAGCGTGACCTCTGGATGATGCTCAGATTTAGTGGCCTTTAGCCACCCCCCTGCGTGAAGTCACACTCTGGCTTTGTGGGGCATGAGGAGTCAGGGCCGCAGTCCTTCACATCACGCACACTGGAAGCTGAAACACTGTCAGCCTGCATGGCTGCATAAAGAGTCCCAGAGGTTTGCAAACTTTACAACCAAAACAGCCATTTCTGCTCCTGTTCACACAAAACAAAAAAAACAAAACAAAAAAAAATTGCACAGCACCGCAAAATCTACTTGAAGCTTAAAATAAACATACGACTCAGCATTAAGAGCTCTAGAACCTAGCAAATATCTTATTTTTGATGCGGTTAAACACCTGGCTCTTTTCATTCTGAAGCTATGTTGTTGTAATAATGGGTTTTTAGCTTTGTCTTGCTGAAATATGCAAGGCCTTCCCTGAAAACCATGTTTGGATGACAGCAGATGTTGTTAAAGTGCCTGTGACATGCATGAAATACAAAAAAGTCGAAGAAAATGTTTTTATATTTAAGAAACTTAGCATAATACACATGATTTTTATCCATGATGTCACATAATTGGCATATTTTCTTTTGAATTTTGCTCAGCTAAAGGGAAACAGGAAGTGACATCAAAGGGGAACTCTTTGAGAAAGAAAACTGTTTTTTTGTTTATTTAAACAATATTATTTGAACTATGACTCTTTCTCACCTCTCTATTAAAATAATCTAAAGAAACATCAGATTCTTCTCTGCAGTCTGTGTTGTGAGCCATTTTAGCAGCACTCTGTTTACAGACATTCCCCTTTGACATCACTTCCTGTTACTTCACATGCAAATATCTCAACAACTTTTTATTTCAGTGGTGTGAAATCTTTTTTACAATATGTTATCAGTGTTATCTTTCCAAAAATACATTCATATTTATTATTTAAAAAAAGAAGTCGCAGGCACATTAACCTCTAAATACTTTTCTGCACTGGTGGTACCTTTCCAGATTTGTAGGCATGCAACATGCGCTAATGCACCCCCCATAGCATCAGAGAAGCAGTTTTTTTGAACTGCGCACYGAAAACAGACCAGGTAAGCCATTTCCTCTTCAGTACAGAGGATGTTGGTTTGTCCAACCACAGAACAGTTTTGAACACCTCAGTCTGTTTCAAAGTAGCTTAGGCTCAGAAAAGATGGTAGTGTTTTTAGATGGCGTTCACACATGGCTCTTTCTTTGCCCGATAGAGCTTTAACCCATATCTGTGGATGGCACTGCGTGTGTGTTTAAAGACGGTGATTTGTGGAAGTGTTCCCGATGTTCAGAACAGAATCAGAACGGGTTTTTTTTTTTCGTGCAGTGCCACCTGCTATTATTGACTCTCAGCTTGGTTCTTTCAGAACAGAGATTCCTCCAGATTCTTGAAAGATTTTGATGATATATTGAAGTATAGAGCAGTGGTTCCCAAGGTGAGGTCTTAAAAATATTTTTAGAATTATTTACACTTCTAAATGGCTACTAACAATAATATTTTTGTGTCGATTGTTACAAAAAAGTGAGGTAAGTGTGCTAAAAAATGTACAAATAAGGAATATTTTTCCTGTTTATTTAACCTGATACCAATGTTTATCACAAAAAAAATGTTTGGGGCACAAGTCTCTGCTACTGTTATTTTGTGCTTCAAAAGCTGAAAAAAAATTGAGCACCATTGCTGCAGAGGACATTCAAAAGTCTCCCTAATTTTAATGATGAACAAGATTTGGATGTTGTTTCACTTTTGTTGTCGTATTTTATTTTTGTCAGCTGGTGAAGTTCTGCCCAACGTTACTTCTGAGAGATTCATCCTCTTAAATGCACATTTTTATCCAGTCATCTTGACTTGTTAATTTAAAAACCGGTATAAAGTTTTAGCTTTAACATTTGCTATGTGTTGCATTGTGAATACAGTATCGTGTGATTAGCAAATCATATTGTTTTATGCACAGTTATAAATCTGCTTCTGTTGCTTTCCTGTTGTGGTTATAAACTGAAATATCATTCATGTTAGTTTTGCTCAAAGCTCCAGAGAGCCTCTGCAGAGGGATCAAAGAGCCACATGTGGCATGAACAGTTTCTAACAACACAACATTTTAAAATTCTGCTGACACCACTGATCAGCTTCGTTTCAGGCCCACTCTCGAGTTTAGCTGACGAGAGTAGCCGACGTTAGCTTTTGCTTCTTGTGAAGCATGAACACATATTCATACTTAGTGTTTTTACTTTTAGCTTGACAGAGCTTTCACTCATGTTTCAGCAGGGCTGTGCAAAATACACACATGATTTTAATGAAACCTACTAGAGAGTTGGAGTTAAAGCAGAAGGAATTACCCATTATGTTTTGGAGCAGGTCCAGTTTACTTCGACCGTGAAGAAGGATTTTTCACTCTGAGTGCTTTTCTATTCTGTCAGACTGGAAGGAAGAAATAAAGCAGGAGTGCAACGAGAAATTAGCTGTTTTTTTTACTTTTAATTTGATGGAGATTGAAAATTTAAATAATCCACAGAGAACACAGTTACAAACAGAAAGTCACCAGATTTGTATGTGTCTCAAATAGTTTCCAGTTGATTTTATGAGACTGATTAAATCTGGGAGGTTTTTATTTAGGTAAATGTGCAGACTTTTTATTAAACGCTCATTTTTTTTGATCAGAAAATAATTTTACTAAAATGTCTAAACAAAATACAAAATATCTTTTTAGAACATTATATTTTAGGAAGACTTATTATTTTGAACATTAGATGTAATTAAAAAATACTTAATACAGTTTTACTAAATCAGCATCCAGGTTGTGATATTACAGCTGTTTTTTTTTTTTTTTTTCAAATATTGTGTCTCTTGCACTAGCTAAGAGCAAAACACAGTAAAACACTAGATAAGAGATGTTTAAACTGGCAAAATGCTTGCTAAAATTAAAAAACTAAATCCTAAAAGTAGGAAAGCAATAATTAAATATTTAAAAATGACTTTAAAAGTGACAAAAGGACAGCAAGGGGGTGAAAGGCAATTTAAAAGTTACAATAACCTGGATAAAACACTAAATGTTGCAAAAAACTAGATGAAGGTGTGAAAAGGATATCTAGAAGCTAATGGCTTAAAGCTAAAAGTAGCAAAAGGTTAGCTAAAAGCCAAAATGAATGATGGTTTTGACTATCAGTGGAACAATTCAAAATAGAGCCAATACGCTGAAGCAGATTTCAAACAAGGAACTTAAAAAAATTAAWTAGTAAATTAAGGAGAAAATGTTTTCAAATCAAGTTTAAAACTTTGAAAATCATCAAAGCTACTAAATCAAAGTTCTTAGCACCATTTACCCCAACTGAATAGAATAGAAAACAAATAGCCTTTATTGTCCCGCCGAGGGGAAATTCAGGTGTCACAGCAGCATCCGTACAGAGGTTCACACACTAGTTATTTTACAAACCAAAATTAACATTGACTAGCCATGATACGACTACTAAAAATAAAAAAATATAATATAAATAATTGTGCAAGAATAGAAAAAGACATGTTTTGTTTTAGAAACATTAGACTTTTAGAATCCGACATTAGGAATCAGAAATTGCCTGTTTTCAGTGCGAAACAATCGCAACAGACCAACAACTGTAAAGTGAAGTATCCCAATGCAGCATGGGTAATAACAGAGCTGATTGCTCAGATTAGTAATAATATAAATGAGTAGTAGTGCAAATGATTGTTCAGTTGAGTAATTACAATGAATAGTGACAGTGCAAATGATTGTGCAGGCAGCAGGTGTGTAAAAATTATTGTGATTATTTTTTGATTGATTTTTTTGAGCTGAATATTTTCATGTATCAATGATTAAATAAGCACAAAATATAAAATAGTGGTCAGATTGCAAACAGAACAGTTACAGGACAATTAGGGCTGGGCAATAAATCGATTTAATCGATTAATTCGAATTTGCCATTTATGAAGATTTAATTTTGAGAAAATCAAGATTTTTTTTCTCACCAATGCACTCTTTGGGGCTTCTATAGTTCTTCAGTTTTCTGGAACTGGTTAGGTTTTGCAACCTCGGACTTGGAGCAACGACCACCTCACTGCAAAATCTGTTTGAAGGCTCTTGCTACAAAAAGCAGGTGTACAACAAATTTGTTTCGACACCTGAAACWGAGGCACTCAGTTAAGTGGGAAACAAAATCCACTAAAATTGAAAACCGAATTTGGGATGAAAAAAATCGGAGATTTTTTTGTTGGGGGGGGGGGCATATCGCCCAGCCCTGAGGACAATCATGTAAATGTTGAGTTAGCTTTCCACCTTTTTACACAAGCTAAAACCTTTTTTTTTTCTGTCAAACCTTCCTTGCAGGAATGGCTACAGAAGTATGGCTACCTTCACCACACAGAACCAGGAATGTCCGTCCTACGCTCGACAAAAAGCATGCACTCAGCCATCGCTGCCATGCAGCGCATCTACGGTCTCAATGTCACCGGGACACTGGATAAGACCACCAAAGAGTGAGTACACATGACGTGTGCTGGCAGATGGACAAACCCAAGCTGTGCAGCACAGAGACACTCCTGCCGGAACCACACATGTCCTGATGATAAAGTTGTTTCACCATATATATATATATATATATATATATATATATATGAAACCTGATATTCTTAGAGGACAGAGATGATTATTTTTGTTCACTCAAATCACCGGAAACAGCATCTACCAAGGCTATAAATTCAATTTCACAACTATTGTACTAAAACTGTCTCCTATTAGCAAAACATCTCATGATTCACTAAGCACGTTTAATGAGAGTTTCATATAGTGATTAGTTAGCAGACCTCTACAACTGATTAAACCTTTGGAGCAAACCCAAAATAAGCTGGCTGCCTCAGCTAATCAACTTTATCTGGCTTTAACTCAGCCATTTTTACAGATATCGAGCTAAAAGCTGGTGTGGTAGTAGTTTGAGAATAATTCAAATCATATAAACTGAGCTCAGGTACACTATGCTTTTCATTAGCTGTATGTTTCTGTTTGTTCAGTTTTATRTTCTGTCAAAGGAAAGCAGTTTGAGCTAGATTTTGCCCTCATGATTGTGGTTCTCCACCTATAAGTGGTTTCTCGTGTTCCAAATTACGATTCAAACTTTTAAAGCTCATCCTCTATCTCTTTTTTCTCTTTTTTACATTATAAGTTGGATGGAGAGACCACGCTGCGGAGTTCCTGACAAGTTAAAAAGCGTCACAAGGTCACGGAGGCGGAGATTCGCGCTGACAGGACAGAAGTGGCAACGCACACACATAACCTACAGGTGGGGCGGAGAATCATCATGGGGGAGGTTATCAGATTCCTGTGTGACGGTGATCATTTTCTCTGCTCTCCTTCGTCCCACGTCTCTAAACCGCCTGGGATTGCACGCTCCGCGTAGTCATAGAGACSGAACAAAATACGTCACACGTGTGGGGGCTTGTGCGTGACAGTCACACATGCAGAAACACACAGTTTGACACGTAAAACGGGTGTTGTTTGTTTGCCATTCAGAGCTAAAATAGCGAGCAGCGCAATTAAAACGAATCAAGTTGTGTGTGCTTTTGTTTTCTTTTGTTCCTTCCTTTTCATAAAGCAAAAACAAAAGGCCTAACGTGAGGAAGGCACATCACCTGCTGCCTTTCATGTCAGTTTTACACCAAGATCATCATAAATGATGTTTAAACCGTTTAAACTGTATTTTCTCTCCTGTGTAAAATAGCAAAATGGGTGAGTTATTGATAAAGTCAGCGGAAACAGTCAAATTCTCATCTTATCTGGGAAAAATTACGCTCRGGATTTTAATGGGTTCGAAGAGGAACAGATAAACGGGTCGCTGGCTCAACTGCAAATTGACAGGTTCCAGCAGCAATAGATGATAACACGGGCAATTTATTCAAATCCTTCCTTCCTTCCTTCCTCGCTGAATGTGAATTGATGAGGCACCTCTCCTAATGGAACGTCAATCAGTGCTGAGCYGCTGCCTGCACTTTATTTGTAAAAAAAATGAGTGGAGAGAGAGAGAAAGAAGATTTCTTTTTCCTCCTCTGCCTGCCAGCCTCTGATAACGACTGCTGTGTGCAAAGTTCAGCCAAAGCTTCCGGGCTTCAAATAGTCAAGTCAAGTGTAACTTTTTATTTTATTTTATTTTATTTTTTATTGGCTTCTCCTCATTCTGAAACGTGAAAGTGTTCACTCAACACTAATGAGATAACAAGGCTAGAGGAAGATACAGGGTGTTTTATTTAATTTTATTGTATATTTTTTGTCGCATTTTCTGAATATTTTGTTCCCTGTAGTTTTGGGATTGGAGCGCCACTCAGACCTGTTACTATTACAAACTGTGCAAAGCAGTTTTCGCTTTCACTTCTCTGAAACCTGTTTGTTGCCTGCTGTTAAAGGGAAGCGGCCTGTGTGTGTGTGTGTGTGTGTCTGTAGCATTAGCAATGGGCTAGCTCATGAACCACAGTAAGGATTTGGGTAAAACTCTTGAAAGGATTCATTAAATGCACATCTACAGCTGATTACCTTTTAAAGTCAAGTTATATAAGTATAAGAAACAAAATCCACACAATCCTTTCTTGTATATCAATGGTTAATGTGTACGCAAGTTAGAAAATTGTAATCAAAATGTGCAAACAACTACCAATCACCATGTTCATTTGTCCACCTATGAAGACAGCTGAAGTGAAGAGCTGTTTGAGATGGAAAGTCCATTTAGATTTATTGGTACAGATTAATGATCAGATCGAGGGAGTGATGGTGGAGAGGATAGAAAAGGTGAGCTTGGATGTCAGGCCTCTGCTCCACACATGGTGGTCAATGGTTGTGTCAGAAAGGGTCTCTATTGTAAAAACAATTGGCAAGTGTTTGTAAAGTCAGTTTGTAAAGTATACAGATGGATAGATAAATATGCACCCCAACACTTGGAACTCCAAGGCGTTCCCAGGCCAGCCGAGAGACATAGTCCCTCCAGCGTGTCCTGGGTCTTCCTTGGGGCCTCCTCCCGGTGGGAGGTGCCCGGAACACCTCACCAGGGAGGTGTCCAGGAGGCATCCTTACCAGATGCCCGAGCCACCTCAACTGGCTCCTCTCGACGTGGAGGAGCAGCGGCTCTACTC